TTTTTGCTGTTATAACATTGTCTCAACTTAGTTTTTATCTTAAGGGATAAACTTTACATCCGAGAATTAAATGGCAATGAACTACCGGTAGTTGTGTTCAAATGTAAGAGAGTTAATAGTCGAAATTATCAGAAAGAAGGCCAATACTCAGCTTAACTTAAGCTTCAAGCTTCACTTTTTTTTTTTCTTTTTTTCCTTTCTCTCTTCTTTTTCCTCTTTTTTTCTTTTTCTTTTCTTGGTTCTTTGCAAGACCAAGTAGATTCATAAGTCTGCCACATTTGCCAGTAGGGGTAGCAAATACATTATTTCAGCATTAAATAAATTCACAACAGCTTCGATTTAAAACATAAGAGCTAAACGAAAATCAACAGCTCCAAGCTAAAAATATTTTAGGTACAAACTCTTGACTAAACTATCGAAACTTAACTAAACTAAGCTACTATGTACACAAAGAAGAAGAAATGAAAATGGCAGAAAACCATAATCAATACAATGATGCTATGATGTCACAATTTAGCATGGATTAAAATTTTTAGAACCAAATTTTATCTTGAATAACTTTGGAATTAGGTCAAATTAGTTTTTTACTTATTTAGAACAATTGGAATGTGTTCAAATCAATCTGAAATGCAAATCCAAGAGGTACATTTAACCTTAGCAAAATAATGTTTCTTTGAATGATTTGCCTAATCAGCATTTTAAACTTCCTTGATAGAAACTGATCTTAAATGATCATATACTGCATGTGAAGCATTCATTTTAATAAATAACACCATTTCCAGTTCACCTGTTACAAACTGACCAGCCTTCCATAAAGATCATCTTTATTTTCGTTTCTCTGGGATATTGTGCTTGTTCTCCTGCAAGATACAGCTTTAAATGTGGCTTTTGAAAGTTTTTTCTTCTTCCTCCATATTCAGATTCTTTAGATTGCTCAAGATGTTCTGACGACACATGGCCTAATACTGACAGAGATCTCTGCATACCTAAAACAATTGAGTATCTATCTTACTTTGAGCTCATGGGTGTTCTGCTGTGTGCTGCCTTGACAATAGGAGCATCTTTTTCCCTTATTATCATTGCTATATTCTACTCTTATAAAGACACAGCTCTAGTTCGAGCAAACAACATGGAGTTGAGCTTTCTGCTGCTGATCTTTATCACCATTTGCTTCCTTGTTGGTCTACTGTTCCTTGGTAAGCCTTCAGACTGGCTCTGCTGGATCAGATATCCAGCATTTGGGATCAGTTTTGCCCTCTGTCTTTCATGCCTCCTGGCCAAGACAACAGTGGTTTTAATGGCTTTCAGGTCCAGATTACCAGGAAGTAATGCAATGAAATGGTTTGGAAACAAACAGCAGAGAGCCAGTGTGTTTTTGGGAACAGCTGTCCAGGTAGTAAATCTTTCTAGTTGAGCAATATCTTTTTTTTTTTTTTGTCATTTCAAATCAGTTTAAAACCACTGTCTTTTTGTCTTTCTGTCCCCTCAAGATTCTTGTCTGTCTTATTTGGCTGCTTACCAGTCCACCCCATGCCAATTACAATACAGATTACCACAGCTCTAAAATAATCATTGAATGTGCAACTGGTTCAGATGTTGGTTTTTGGCTTGTTCTTGGATACATCGGAATCCTGGCTTGCATGTGCCTCGCGTTGGCCTTTTTGGCACGGAAGCTGCCTGATCATTTCAACGAGGCCAAGTTCATTACCTTTAGCATACTGATCTTCTTTGCTGTTTGGGTTACTTTTATCCCAGTTTATATGAGCACCATTGGAAAATATACTGTTGCTGTCCATGTTTTTGCTATTTTAGCCTCAGCTCTAGGATTACTCTTTTGCATTTTTGCTCCAAAGTGCTATGTCATTTTGCTGAAACCTGAAAAGAACACAAAGAAACAACTGATGCAAAGATAAAAACTGAGAAACAACTGCGACACAATTAGCAAAAGGAGGGACCCAAAGACTCATATTAAAGATCTTTGAATATACAAAAAAAAATCTACAGGTATTTTGGTGACTGATGAACATGTCAGAATGAGGAACAGTAACATTCAGTAAATGTTTTCTCAAATATGGGGTACAATAGGAAAAAGAAAGATAAGCTAAAAACAAGAATTTATGAATTAATCAACCCTGTGAGGAACTTTAACATGGACTAATTTTCCAACAAATAGAATGTACAATATTCTGACAAGATTCTGTGTCTATGTGAACAAGGATATCATCAAGAAAAGTCACATGATCACCCAAGTTTAAGCAGCAAATACCTTGCCTATTACTGGAATGGACATATAATCCTGTTAGATAAGTTCCATATTTATTGTTGACTTTGTATGTTCAGTCAATTCAGTTACTTTAACTACAACTTATTCATGTTTAATTTATCATATGGAAATCTGTAAATGAGATTTAAATAACTACTGGCTCAGTTAAGTCTTGTATATGTCTAATTTAAATAAATAAAAAGAATAAATATATATAGAAATACATCAGTGCCATTATTTTTCCTCCTTAAATATCTTCCAAGAATATGTGACTTAATATAAAACTGAAAGATGATAAATTATCTTGCACAATCTTATTCAATAGTGACACTATCCATCCATCCATCCATCCATCCATCCATCCATCCATCCATCCATCCATCCATCCATCCATCCATCCATCCATCCATCCATCCATCCATCCATCCATCCATCCATTTTCTTACACTCTTATCCCAAGTGGGGTCGCGAGGGGTGCTGGTGCCTATCTCCAGCAGTCATTGGGCGATAGGCGGGGTACACCCTGGACAGGTCGCCAGTCCATCGCAGAATAGTGACACTAGTGTTATTATAAATTAAAGGGCTTCGACTTCATTCTTCCCTTCAATCTGAAAAACTCAATCAAGAAAAAGACAATTAGAAGAATTTTATTGATACATAATTTTAAGACTTTGGTGCCCAGACCTTGGCAGGAAACAGCAGTGAATTTTACTTTAATATGTGTTAGCAGGTGTAAGAGAACAAGCCTGAAACCCTCCAGGCCTGAAACTGGTGGTGGAGTGGAGATGAAGTTGGTTCAGTTCATAGAATGCTGGTTTGTGAGACGATCTGCTTGAGCGGTATTGGTGAGATCCAGTAGACTGTGTAGGCTGATAGTAGTGCTTGATCCGGGACTCGGAAGATAGATGTCCAGCTTGGATAAACACAGGTTTGCAAGAACCTGTCCATGAGCAAGCATGAAGCGACAGTGGAGAGTAAAAACTCCCCTTTTGAAAGAAACCTCTGGCAGAACCAGGCTCAACATGGCGGTCTTCTGCTGTACCGATTGAGATGTGGCGGGGAATGCAGTAAAAGTTCAGGAGGAATTACACTATGATAAGGATGAGATTGAAGAAGCACCATGGAAAAGTCAGAAGGAGCTTAGCTACGGTGTTGGAGAAAGGTATGGAGGTGGGTTGAATCAGGGTCATCTGAGTCAAAATAAGACCACTGCTTGTGCTTGTCTGGGTAGCAGGCTGAGTCGATACACTCATCTAAAACAGATCTGTTAAATTTATCAAATAGAAGTCTCCATTAACAAATACTACTTTTTTCCTGTCTTTAATTTTATCTAATATTTATATTTAAAAGGCAATTGTTGTGAATTGGTACAGTTGAATTAAAGCTACATTGATTTTACTTGAATCTGGAATTCCAAATAAGTTATTTGGAATATTAAGGTTCACAAATATGATATAGGATTTAATGTCTTTCGGTTTTTTTCTTTTGGTTCTGTACTCTTTTTTTTTTTTCTTCAACATTTTAGCCCTAAAAAATGGTAAAAACTCGATTATCTACATATTTCATATAATACAAGATAACTATTCATGTTGAAATTAAGGTTTTACCTTTTCTAAAGATATGACCTTTTTGAAACTAGGAACATATTTTTGAGCTATTTTGTCAATTTGGTGTATTATTCGTAACCTTTCATGTACTTGTATCAAAAACACATCTTTTGGATCAATTTGTATTCACAGCAAAAAAGAAATAAAAAGTATTTCTTAAGATAATATATCTCAGGTAATACCCTTGTAATGAATATTATCACACTTTATGGGATTTTAGCTTCTTTATTGTCAAATATATTATTGACCATTATCAAATAAAAATACATCCAAACAGTGACTTGTTAAGAAAATGGTTTTCATACAATGCATATTAAAGGCCTATATCATGCAAAATCCACTTATTTAATGATTCCTTCATGAAGATCATACACAAAGAGGTAGTTTGACTGATTTTGACATCTCAGACTAATCCTAATGAGTTGCTCATGTCTGAAAATCTTAAAAAAACTTAATTAAAAAAGTGTTAAGTTTAATTATGTTAATCAGAAACAAATTTAAAGTGTACCTATTGTCAAAGCTTTCTCTTTGAGATTGAAAAAAGCCTTTGTACTATTGCAAAATAATAAAAACTGCTACTCAGTAGTTAAAACAACACTCTATCTTTTGACCTGAGTATAAGCTTATTAATATATATCTAATTTAAGTTAAATTTAAGTTACTTGAGGGGGTCTAATTTGTCACCCAATTAGTCATGTGACCCAATGCGCCAGTTTGTGTAATTATGAGCTCCCTTAAATGAGAGCTAACCCTAAAAAGTTTATATTAGCTATTAAAACAAGTTTGAACATGTACCTGATCAGACATATTTTTGGTTTTACGTTACACAATTTAATCTACGGGGGTGAATGTGGCCTCCTCTTTAAAAGTAAGTTCATAACTTCTGAGTATGCTTGTCCAAACTGGTCTACAATTAGATTTAAAAACTTGGAGGGAGACTTTATTTTTGCTAGAGTGCACTGTTGCCAGTTGCTTTCGGGGCCGACACCTGGAAATTACAGATCTAGTACCCCTAGATGTTAAGAGTCACACAACATCGCTTTATATTTAAGTTGTTTACATTATGATGCAAATATTTCTTTACAGCCAATGCGCTAATATACTTTTAAATTTTTATTCAAGCCATTTTGGAATATCTTACTCATATACTGAAACTGTGTAGACAGAGTGAATAATATCTAATATTTTCAGATTATGCTTTTTTTATAGCATTTACTCCGATAACATACCTTTTTGTGTTCTTTTCTGGCTTCATTAGGATTATGTGACATTTTTTAGCAAAAATGCTGATCAATAAACCATATGCTGATGACAAAATTGCAAAAATCTCCACAGCGACTGTAAACTTTCCAGGAGAGCTGACATATGCTGGGATAAAAGTGATCCAGACAGCACAGAATATCAGCATACTGAACGTTATATATTTGGCTTCATTAAAATTATCAGGCAATTTTCTTGCTTGAAATGCAAGGATTAAACATATTACTGCAAGGATCCCTATGTATCCGAGTACTGCATAAAATGCAACCTCAGACCCTGTGTTACATTGTAAAACAATTTTTTTGTTACTATATGTAAAAATTTTGTCAGGGAAAGGAGGATTTAAAGTTAACCACGATATACAGATAATTACCTGAATCAAAGTGCAAGAGCAAACAATAATTCTTTGTTGAAGTGGACTAAACTGTCCCATAACTTTGTTGCTTGGGTGTTTGATTTTGAATGCAGTTACTACCACAATAGTTTTTCCTAACACACAAGAAATAGAAAGAGCAAATGTCACACCAAAAGCTGTGTGGCGCAGCATGCATGTCCAGACTGTAGGTCTACCAATGAAGGTGAGAGGGCAAAGAAAACACAGAAAGAGAGAAAACAACAAGAAGCAACTCAGCTCTGAGTTGCTGGCCTTTATTACTGGAGTTTCTCTGTAGTGGATAAAAATGGTCATTGTGAGGAGTGACAGGACGGCCCCTAGTAACGCTACAACTGTAAGCGCTACTCCCATGGGTTCATGGTAGGTCAGGAACTCAACTGCTTTTGGAATACACTCACTGTGTTTCTCATTGGACCAGTATTCTTTTGGACAGGCTGTGCATTCCATTGCACCTGTTGGGGGAAAAACACTGAATGTAGAAATAAAATGGCACCAGTTTAAGACAAGAAGAAGAAGTAAACTGTTAGCAATTGGAAATATAACCCACAGTGCATATTATACCAAGTCATTTCAGTTGCTCCCATTTTTAAGGGTTGTTGCTTCAAGTCAAGCCTTTTCTGATGCAATGAGTATTTGAACTTAAATTCCCACATTAGTCAAAATCTCAAACCCCTTTATGGTGGCAACTTTATCACAATGCATATTAAACTAGTTGTGTGTTTTTCTTGTGAGTCATGATTGTCTACCTGTTAAGTTTGCTATAGTTCCATCTGCACATGGAATACAATCAAAACAGCACTTTGGTTTCCCTTTGATTTGAGCTTTCCTTTTCCCTTCTGGGCATTCATTAGAGCACAGCGATTGAGGAACCTAAAAGAAAGAAAAAAGAAACACTGTTTGACACATATAATCTTTGTTGTATGATAATTTAATGGTGCAATTGTTTTAGAGACTCTTGTGATACAGAATAAATAATTACATTTTTTCCTGTCCTCCAAACTATCTTTTCTTCCTGCACGCTTAGTGTATAGTCACCATTTTTATCAGATGCAAAATGACCCACAGTCACATGCTGGACCTGTCCGTTTTTGAGTTGCCAGTTAATGATATCATAGGAGGCAGGAGGATTGCCATTCTCATCAAAAAACACATGATCTCCAAACTGGTTTCTGAAGTTTACTCTTTGTAAGTGATATGTTACCTTATAACAAAAAAGGCATGATAAAAGCATGTTTTTGGAGGGTTTTTTTTTAATCATTTTTTGCTGACATGATTATTCATCACTGCTTACCTCTTTAGGATGAATTTCCGACAGGTTCAAGCAAGGATTCATGTTTTTTCCTCCAGCTGGTTGGCAGAAGACCAGCTGGTGAAGGGCATGTGCAATAGCATAAACAGCTTTATACACATTATAAGAAACTCTAAGCTGTGTGACATTGAAGAACATGTCATGGGTGTAATCCTTCTCCAATTTCTCATTGCCTGTACATATCTTAGTTGTTTTCCCTGTACTTATGTCCATTCCATGTGAAATGGGTTGACAACCTACCATTATCTCCCAAAAATCCTTCACAAAAGGCATACTTGGATCTCTGTAAGGGTTAATATCTTTCAGAAATGGATGTAGATTTGGGATAGCCATCTTCTGTACAACAAACCCCAAAGCTCCACCAAAAGCTTGGTACATTTCTGGTGTGGATGGTCGTGCAGCTGTTATCCATGCTTCACTAGCAATCCACTGAATTCCAGTGATTTTCTGTTTAACTATCTCCTTCATCAAAGGGTAAAAGTCTCCCTCCGGAACAAAAGCAAGAATTACTTTGACAGTAGATTGCTTGATCATTTCTACAACTTTCCGAATTTTATCCAGAGGGTAAGTTCGGAGAACTGTACCAATAAAAGCAATACAAATTTTTAATGTCTTAACCTCCTCAGTGAATGCAAGAATTCCATTTCTTCCATAATCATTGTCAGACTGTATGGCTCCAATCCACTCCCAGCCAAAATGTTTGACTAATGAAGCCAAAGCTTTTGCCTGAAAGTAGTCGCTGGGAATTGTTCGGAAAAAAGTAGGATATTTAGCTCTGTTACTGAGACAGGCACATGTTGAAAAATAACTTACCTGCAAAAGAAAAAAAATACTTTTTTTTAAAGAATCACACAAAGTTCTTTGCAAAATAGGCAATATACTGTTGTTTTATTTCTTACTATTGGCAGTTGAAATGGTCCTAGAGTTTCAGCCACAGCTAAGGACTGAGATGATCCTGACTCAGCTATTAGAGCAGATATAGCTGGGGGACAAGGAGATGTCATTTCCTTCCCCTCTGGTTCACCTCCCAGTGTCAATGCAGCACGAACAGTGTTAGTAGGAGAGGCACAAGAGTCAAGGATTCTATAACCAAGAGAAACATTTGGAAGGAGAGCAGGATTTTTGTTGATTTCATCAATTGCAAATATCATCACTTGGGTCCATCGAAAAGCACGCAGGTCAAATCTAAAATTTAGAAAGAAGAATAAGCTTTAGCACAAGGTTAAAACATAAAATTCATTTGGAAGAGAAAATAAAGTTACCCTTCACACATAATTTTAAGAGGCTCCCCCTCAAATGTATTGATCTTGCTTATCTCTTTATTGAAGACTGGAAAAATCCCCCCTATCATTATATCACCTTGCTTAAATATATATGGCATATCAAATTTTCCAGTCAGTCCACAGCCATAAACTTGGCTTATGTAAAATGCAACTAAAAGTACAAGATAATTTTTCTGCATGTTTGTGTTGCGTTGCCAAACGGTTAGGACTAAGCTTTTATAACAGTTTGTTGGATATGAGAGCATATCCCTTAGGATATTCCTAGTTAGGGAAGGTTTACAATACAAAAAAAAAACAAAAAAAAAAACGCAAAAGCAATCCACACATCAATACCCCTATGCAAATTAATTAACAAAATAATAACATTCCCCTTTTAAAGGTAGGATTTTTGCTTTACAGATTAATTATTTTTTCAAGTATTTATCATTTAGGACTTTGTTATTTGATCATTATCATAACAGAGTGCATACAATAGTCTTCTAAAAACAAGACAACAAATCTTTCAATACATTTGTATCTAGGTAGTCCTCCAACTTTTTGTGTAAATCTATAGCAAATAACATACTATTTGAATAAAGTAATTGATTATTGCCCAACACTATCTATACAAGTCTAATTAAATAAAAGGTGACTCAGATGATTGAATTAAATAAAAAAATGAATGACATAAAACAAACAGAATAAAAGGCACTATCCAAAAAATATTGTATCAAACAAGTTATCAAAACCTTTGTCTGAATAATTTTTTCTAAAAGGAATAATTTTAACCTACTCTTAAAAAACTTAAGTATGTAGCTCAACTTAAAACCTACCTTTCATTTCAAATCAGAACTCCACTTTCTTTAGACTAGACTTAGACAAACTTTATTGTCCTTTTGTATACAGAGATTGTATACAAAATGAAATTTCGTTTTGTACAGGTCTCATGACATTTCCATTTCTTAAAGTGCAGCAGTGATTAACTGCAAACATTAGGTGAAAAAAGGAAAGTTAAAAACAATAAGATAGACTTTGTTTCCAAGTTTGAAGACATTTTGCTTCCCATCCAGGAAGCTTTTTCAATTCAAAATGTCAGGAATAGCGTTGAGTTTGAGGTTTTATACAGTGGCCCATCAAAACCTTATTTTCATTTTGAAAACATGCAAATTGAAACAGATGAAAGGGGCCACCACTTTGGAATGAGGGTCGTTTGGCTTCTTTTGTTAGTCTGCAATGCCCCATACCCGTCTAAGTGTCTGAAAGGAGGTAGTTAAAGGAAATTGTCAGCCTGGCTGAGTAGGCGAGGTTCTCCGATCCGCCTGGCCTATTCAGCCAGGCCAACAATTCCCTTCAATTTTAACACTCCACTCAGAGTTAATCGCATGCGCAACAAGTATGAAAGCCATTATCAGTGGAGCACCAATTCGACGAGTCACCATGACAACAGGAAACAGGAAGTGCCTATTTCACCTCATTGGAACTAGAGATTGTAATGCAGTAAAGTAAAAATAAAATTAAAAAGGAGAATGCACTAAAAAGACAGAGAAACAGTTCTACAGCTAATAAGAAGAGGAAGATGGCAATGGAGAAGATTGTTGTTTGTAAGTTTATATGAAGTGGGGGGATTTCTGGGGGACAGTGATTTGCCTACATTTTCTGAATGCTGGCCTACCATAAATCATATATTATGAACAGTTTAGTTTGTGCCTTCAACTCGTTGCCCATAGGAAGACGTTACTTGGATGTAACAAAACCGAATACCTTCAGAACAGATCCAAAAAACACAAAACTCATATGGGTGAGTAGAACATGATGTAATTACGTAAAATCAAGGGTCCAATGTATAAAAAAAAAAAAAAAAAAAAAAAAAAAAAAAAGGTGTTCCCCTTTAATCTGTGCTGTCAGTTCATCTCATGATCCTATTAAAATATTCTGTTCTCTTTCGGAGCAGTAGATCCCCGACATACGGGTGGGTGATGGTCCTGGGATTCCCCAATGACAGCTCTCTGAAGCGTGCAAGGTTGTTTGGCATTTCTTACCATTCGTAGCCACTGAAAGTGAATGACAAAAGCTATTTTTAGATCTATGGTAAAAATATTTTTATATTCAGTATAGTAAATGAAGGTTGATATTTCTCTAAAAAATATTCTCTTGATCTTTGTTTATAATTTTCTATACCTAAGGATTTGTGTTTAGTTAATCCTGAAACTTACTGTACTATGAGGATACTTAAATATAAACTACAGAACTTTTAAGTAAGCAGATTATCTAGATTAAATTATCCTTTTGGAAGTTTAAAAGTTAAGATTTAAAAAAGTTTCATGGGACGGGCCGGTAGTGCATGGGGTTATGTGCGTGTCTTATATACGGAGGCTTTGGTACTCAAAGTGGCCATCACAGGTTTGAGTTCTGGCCTGGCAATTTATGTTGCATATCTTCCCCCATTTAAATTACCAGAGGCCACTAGTGTTTAAAAATAATCTTTAAAAAAGATAAATATTTTGTATATTGTCAACCAGACCAGCAAAGCACACTTACTAAACTGAAATACATTTTTCTTTCAAAAATTACTTTATTCAATGTTTCAGATGTTGCACAACAAATATAGTGTTTAATGTGAAGATTGTGCACAGTGAGGTCCTTTTGCTTTGACTCAAAACACAGACACATTGCTTATATCAAAGAAGTCTTTATTTTCGTCTTCCATATACATAATTTGCTAAGCATAATAAATAGTTTTCAAATTAATGTAATTTTAATCCTAAAAAATAAAAATTGTATTTGTAGGAAGTTAGCAAGAGTTACTGATCAAGACCTATTTTGATATGATGACTTGACACATTTGTACGCATCTAACCCTTAAAAAAAAAACTCTGCCAGAATACCAACACATTCATGGAAAAAAATGCTGATGTGAAAATTTATATAAAACAATTTCTAAACTCAATTTCTTATGAAGTCACATATTATCATGAGATGGAGGGAATTATCTGTCTTATTTCTCAGAGTTAGACAAATGGAAAAGGAGCAAAACAAATAAAACATTTCCCTCATGGTTGCTTAAGCACTTACAGGTGAAATTAAGTTCAGTCAACATAATTGATGAAAAGAAAAGTAACAGAAAATTGTGCAGGTAATAAGCACTGAACTAACAATCTTGTTTTATTAAGTATTTTGATTTTAAGCTTTTCAGTCCCAATGTACTTTAATATTTAAAACAAGAGATCCAATTTTCTTTTTATAATTTTATATTATATTATTATTATTGACTATGTCTTTCCCATGACATGTTTCCTTGTGTTTTTCTCTGGCTTTATCAATATTATGTAACATTTAGGTGCAAAAATACTAATTAATAAACCAAATGCTGATGACAAAATCGCAAAGATTTCCACAGCTACGGTGAACTTTCCTGGAGAGCTGACATAGGCAGGGATAAAGGTAATCCAAACAGCACAAAATATAAGCATGCTGAATGTGATAAATTTGGCTTCATTGAAATTATCTGGCAATTTTCTTGCTAAAAATGCAAGAATTAAACATACCACTGCGAGAAATCCTATGTACCCCAAAACTACATAAAAAGCAACATCAGACCCTGTATTACATTCTAAAACAATCTTTTTGTTGCTGTATTTGAAAACCCGATCTGGCAAGGGAGGATTTAACTTCAACCACAATATGCATATCACTATTTGAACTAAAGTGCAGGAGAAAACAATAATCCTTTGCTGAGCTGGACCAAACTTAACTGCGACTTTATTATTAGGATGTGTGGCTTTGAAGGCAGTTACAACAACAATGGTTTTCCCCAGAATGCAGGAAATGCAAAGAGCAAACGTCACACCAAAAGCTGTGTGGCGCAGCATGCATGTCCAGACTGTAGGTCTACCAATGAAGGTGAGAGGGCAAAGAAAACACAGAAAGAGAGAAAACAGCAGGAAGAGACTCATCTCTGAGTTGCTGGCCTTTATTACAGGAGTTTCTCTGTAGTGAATAAAAACGGTCATCGTGAGGATTGACAGGGAGGCGCCAAGCAATGCTATAACAGTAAGAGCTATTCCCATTGGCTCAAGATATTCCAGAAACTCAACCGTCTTTGGCATGCACCTATCTTTTCTTTCATTTGACCAGTATTCCAGGGGACAGATAATGCACTCTGTTGCACCTGTGAAGAAAAAAAGAGAAAATATGTTTTGTGACATTGTTCAGGCAAAAGGGGTCAAATTAAACAAAACAAAATTGATTTCCAGAAAAAGATTAGATCCTTTTAACCCAAGTACCCAGTTTGTTTACTATACTTATTGGTTTCAGAATGAATGTACTGTACATTTAAACCATGTCCATTTACCTGTTAAGTTGGCTATTGTTCCATCGGCACATGGAATGCAATCAAAACAACATATCGGTTTCCCTTTAATTTGAGCTTTTCTGGTTCCTACAGGACAAGCATTTGAGCACAGGGATGTTGGAACCTAAAGTAATAAACAAAGGATCATAGTTTTTTTCTTCCATGTTGTGATTATCAGAAAATGGTTAACATATAGGTATTATTTTTTATGTACCATTTTTCCTGTCCTCCAAACTATCTTTTCTTCCTGCACGCTTAGTGTATAGTCACCATTTTTATCAGATGCAAAATGACCCACAGTCACATGCTGGACCTGTCCGTTTTTGAGTTGCCAGTTAATGATATCATAGGAGGCAGGAGGATTGCCATTCTCATCAAAAAACACATGATCTCCAAACTGGTTTCTGAAGTTTACTCTTTGTAATTGATGGGTTACCTTATAATAATAATTAAAAAAAACATGTTAAAGGCATGTTGGAATTTTTTATCTTTTTTTTTTTTTTTTTGCTGACATGATTATTCATCACTGCTCACCTCTTTAGGATGAATTTCCGACAGGTTCAAGCAAGGATTCATGTTTTTTCCTCCAGCTGGTTGGCAGAAGACCAGCTGGTGAAGGGCATGTGCAATAGCATAAACAGCTTTATACACATTATAAGAAACTCTAAGCTGTGTGACATTGAAGAACACGTCCTGGGTGTAATCCTTCAATTTCTCATTGCCTGTACATATTTTAGTTCCTTCCCCTGTACCAATGTCCATTTCATGTGAAACAGGCTGACAACCTACCATTATCTCCCAAAAATCCTTCACAAAAGGTGCACTAGGATTTCTGTAAGGGTTAATATCTGTCAGAAATGGATGTAGATTTGGCATAGCCATCTTCTGTACAACAAAACCCAAAGCTCCACCAAAAGCTTGGTACATTTCAGGGGTTGAAGGCTGGGGTGCTGTTATCCATGCTTCACTAGCGAGCCATTGTATTCCAGTGATGTTGTGCTTCACAACCTCTCTCATTAAAGGTGAGAAATCACCCTCTGGAGTAAAAGCCAGAATTACTTTGACAGTTGATTGTTTGATCATGTCAATGACTTTCAGAATCTTCTCTTGAGGAAAGGTTCGCATAACTGTCCCAACAAAAGCAATACAAATCCCAAACTTGTTAACCTCCTCTGTAAAAGCCAAAACCCCATTCCGCCCATAATCATTATCAGATTGAATGGCTCCAATCCACTTCCAGCCAAAATGTTTCACTAGTGCTGCCAAAGCTTTTGCTTGAAAGAAATCGCTGGGGATGGTTCGAAAGAAGGTAGGATATTTACCTCTGTTACTGAGACAGGCACATGTTGAAAAATAACTTACCTAGGGAAAAAAAAGACAACACATTAATTTTAGAGCAGCATTATATAGCATTTTACACCAATGTAAATGACAATTTTAGATACGGCATCATGTCTTACTACTGGAACTTGAAAAGGTCCAAGAATCCCTGCAACTGCCAAAGACTGAGAGGATCCTGCCTCTGCAATGACTGCAGATATAGGAGAACAGCTAGAAGCTGTTTCTTTTTCATTTTTACTACTTGCTAGCGTTAGTGCAGCACGTAATGTATTTGTAGGAGAAGAACATGAATTGAGAATTATGTAACCCAGGGTAATATTGGGAAGGAGACCCAGATCTTTGTTTATCTCTTCAATTGCAAATATCATCACTTGGGTCCACCGAAAAGCTCGAAGGTCATACCTGCAATGATATAAGCCATTTTTCTACACTACTTAGTAAATGTCTGCTACTGCAAATTAGATATACACACGAGGGTAAGAATAAGATAAGAATAAAGCAACAAAAACAGTCACACTTACAAGGCACATATCACGGCAGGAGGTACCCCCTCAAACGTAGGAACTTTACTGACATCTTTGTTAAAAACTGGAAATATTCCCCCGATCATTATGTCACCTTTTTTAAACAACCTTGGCATGTCAAATTTACCTAAGATCTCACAGCCATTACCTGTGTTCATGCAGAGAACACACAAATATATAAAAACACTTCTTTGCATGTTTGTGATGCATTGTCAGATTTGGAGCAGCACAAAGATCTTAAAATATAATGGATGTAGGAAGATGTGTCGTCATGAAGAGTTAATTTATTTCCCACATGGCAAAGCAGCCACAGATTGGTCTAAGTATGAAAGGGAGGTGCTAGCTGATAAGAATTACTTATGAAATACCACTTATAATACATGTATGAGTTAGTTTTGAAACTTTTCATAAGAAAAAAAAACTCTTAAAATACTTACTCAATACATGTTTAAATATCAAATATAGTTATTTAACCATTAAGGATTTTAATAACATTTAGTGCAGCAGTGTACTTTTAAGGAAAAATAAAAACATAACTTCTGTTAATCTCATAATTCAGTTAAAAAGTGTCAAAGAACTGACATTTCCAAAAGAAATCTAAATATCGGTTTACTTTAATCAAAATGTATTTTGGTCAATGAATTTGGCACATGTAAATACAGTTGCTTACTGATAATATACGCATATGCAAAGTAGGCTGCTAACTAAAATCTTTCCTTATGGAGTTGTGGTGGAATGCAGACTAAAGCCAAGGAAAGGTTAAGTTTATTTATTCAGCACGTTTCAGTAGCAAGACAATTCAAAGTGCTGTACAGGAGAAAAAGAAAATTACATTTTAAGTGGCATTAAGGTAAATAAATAATTAATTGAATGATTGATAAAAAATGAAAGGAAAGTAAGACTAAGATCTTAAACGATATTGCGTAGAAGTCTAAAAAACAATCCACTGGACTTGGTTTCCAAGGTTTGAAGACGTTTTGCTTCCCATCCAAGAAGCTTTCTCATTTCAAAATGTCTGGATTCGCATTGGGTTTGAGGCTTTATTTAGACAAGGCCTTGTATTGCTTGGAAACATGAAAATTGAAGCAGACGAGCAGGTCGTTTGGTTCCATTGTTAGCCTGTAACATCTGAAACCTGTCTCTGATTGTAAAAGGTCGGTCGTTATCTTAACCAATAATGTTTAGATACGGCATTTATATTCCTTTTAAGTATAGGTCTAATACTGATGAAGTACAACAAGTGGTAAGTAGTAACTAACTACATCTAGATTTCCAACCTGATTGGTTGCTTCTACCTGCATTAACTGAAGCTGTTAGGTTGAATGCTAAACTTGGGTTCTGGGTTGTCTGAACATTGAGTCCTCTGGTCCGTTCTTGCTGCTACTGTCCAGCTGGTTAACCTGGGATTTTTAAACATGGGTCAACCGGCTAACAATCAACATTTGCCTCCCTTCCCACTGGCATAAAAAGCTGGGTCTAACCCCCCACTGACAAGCTGCATTGCCTCTGTCCCCCTGCCGTTGTGTGTCTGAATACTTCATTACTGTACACTTGGTTAGTGTTGATGATGTCAGCAGTGCAACATAAATCAGGAGAGGAAACAATAAAGAAAAACATGTAAGGAAGCCAATGTGTAGTAGATGTGCTATATTGTTTTGCTCATTTATTTGTCGTCTCGCCAGTGCTGTGCCAAGTTTATCGTATGTAGACAGAGTTGTTTTGGCTTAGGGCTGACCCTACTGGTGTAGTGTGTTGACGTCCGTACATTGTGCTCCATGGTGTCACGTAAATCAGCTGGTCGACCCGAGTTTGTTGTTACCCCGGCATGCTGATCAGAGTCGAGTTGATTTTAACATACGTCGCTTGCGTTGACACGGGTCAGTGAGTTGTTCCCACTACCACTAAAAGCTGACTGTTCCAGGTTTTAAATGGCTTTTTTTGCCAGTGGGAAAAAGATATTAGTGGAGAGGTTGTGATCTCTATCTCTGTAGGTGTTTGGGGTATTGAAGCTATGGGGTATCTACACATGTAGGTTGTGCTTTCTACATTTATATACATGTATTTGTTGTAAACCCATGAGACACTTCCTCTTTTTTGTGGTCAGTGTATTGTATTCTATATGTTTCCACTAATTTCTTGCAGGTTTGGATCACATTTCAAGAGGTGGTTCCTTTCTTTTCCACCTCTTTTTCTCCCCTTTCTCCTCCCTCTCTTTTCTTTTATATGAGAGTCTGAATGTCTAGCATATTTGAGTTGAATTGAGTTTAATTGATAAATAACTCATGATGTAAAGTAGATTTTGGATTTAAAATTCCAACAAGCTGTTTTATTGTGGCACTTTGATCAAAATTTTTGAATCCGACATTGGGAGTAAACAAAGTGTTAAGATTTGACAAGGGTTAAACTATTTTAAATATTTTCTTTGCATTGTAACTGAACTGACAACTAGTTTTATACAGAATAGAATGAGATCATCTTCCAATTGTCTATAAAAGACAATTCTATAAAAGTCTATAAAAGTCAGCCACATTATATACTAACAGAAAATGAAGTCCTTAGATGTACAATTTAATCTATGTATATATATATATTTATATATGTATGTATGTATATATATATATATATATATATATATATATATATATATATATATATATATATATATATATATATATATATATATATATATAGTGTGACAGAGACACATTGCTCAGAGAACAAAAGGGGGAACGCAAACAACAGGATTTAGTTTCAATTATATCAAACTTTTGTAAAATCCAACTGTTGATGTAGGAAGCAAAACTGATTGATTTACAATCTGTTTCAAATGCTGTTGTGCAAATAGAATAGACAACAGCTGGAAATTATAGGCAATTTGTGAGACACACTCAATAAAGGATTATTTCTGTGATGGGACCCACAGACCAATTCTCAGTACATATGATTTCTGGCTGATGTTTTGGTCACTTTTGAATGTTGGTAGTACTTTCCCACTCTTGGTAGCATGAGCTGTAACCTATAACCCAGAGATGTTCATCCAGGATGACACATCAATGCAAGCTGTAGTTAAAAGATTTGCTGTGTCTGTCAGTATAGTGTCCAGAGGCTTCAGGTGTTACCATGAGACATAGAGGAGGCCATAGGAGGGATATAATCCTGCTGACCACAAATGTGCATTTGTGTACAGAAACGGTTAGAAACCGACTCCCTGAGGATGGTATGATCAGGGTCGGAGCTAGATGGGGGGCCAGGGTTGGCCATGGCCACCCGTAAGCAATCATTGGCCACCTCTGTGGCCACCCCTACCATTTTTTCCCTCTAATACAGACAGTGGCAGCAGTAATACTCTCAAGGGGAATGTTCAATCTTATTAAACATTTACATTTTTTATATATTAACAATCAATATATCAATATCAGCATCAATATACTAACATTAAAAATGATAAAGGCAGAATTCACACTCTTTTTAGAACTAAATTTTGTGTTATTTTGGGTAAATAGAAAGTTATGTGTCTCTGTAAGTCATCTAGGAGTCTTCAGTGAAATCATTGATAAATAACTACTTTAATAACTTAAAAATTCATTTAATAAGGATATTAGTACATTTAAATATATATTTTTTGCAGAATTATTATTCCTAAAAGTAGGTAATGACAATGTAAAATATGTTCGTCCCAGAGCTTGAACCTGAAAGAACTTTGTCCAGTATACCTTTTATTTAGACGCCATGGATGTTTAAATATATGTGTCTATTTGTTAGCAAAGGAAAGTTTAGTTAGTTTTTATTTAGAAAATATGGATGTTGTACGTGTTCTTGTTGGAATAGTGTAGATTGACCCTGAGGGTCTGGCGCCTTTTGACCACCCCTCACTGTACATTGGTTATTGACTGGCCACCCCATTAGGATTTTATGGCTATGCCTCTGGGTATGAGGGCTTGATGTCCACAGATGGTGTATGTGCTCACAGACACATACACTTTTCAAGACACTTGACATTTGCCCAAGAACACCACGATTGGCACATTCACCACTGGTGCCCTGTAGCCTTGACAGATAAAGGGCAGGTTCAAACTGAGCACATTTGAAAGACGTAAAAGAGTACAGAGATACCATGGAGAGTGATCTGCTGCCTGCAACATCTTTCAGCATGACCAAGTGTTTTAAGAAGGTCATACAGGCACAATCATTCAACTTAATTTGGACATATTTGGACATGTTTTAAGGACATTACCTAAGATCTTAGTGAACTTTATTTAAGCATACAGTACATGAAGAGCATTAACATCTTGCCTTTTAGGAAATAAAGAAGCATTACATAAAAACAAACAGAATATAGTTTTATTTTGTGCTATTTAGTGCAAGATTTGTCAATATGAGTATAGAATCAGGACAGTGTTCTTTAAAATAACTCTAGTATTACAATTAAACATCATTTTGCTGACATCTTAACCAATAAACACTTCTTTGAGTTTTGCTCTGGCCTCAGTAAAATAATATAGCATTTTGGAGCAAAAATACAAAGCAGCAAACCAAAACTTGAGGCCAGGATAGCAAATATTTCTACAGCTACAGTAAACTTTCCTGGTGAACTAACATAAGCTGGAATAAATGTGACCCACACTGAGCAGAATATCAGCATACTAAATGTGATTAGTTTGGCTTCATTAAAATTGTCTGGGAGTTTTCGGGCAAGAAAAGCAAAAATAAAGCAAAATGCCGCAAGAATTCCAATATAACCCAATACTGCCCAGAATCCAATTTTTGAGCCCAGATCACACTCCAGAATTATTCGGTCTTTATAGTACTGCATATTCATGTTGGGGAAAGGAGGATTAGTTAACAGCCAAACTAGACAAATGAGAATCTGAATGAGAGTGAAGATAAGAACACTGACTCTTTGCTGTGTATGTCCAAACCACTTCATTACGTTGCTGCCTGGAAGTCTTGCTCTGAAAGCCATCAGAACCACTATTGTTTTTCCGAGAACACATGAAATGCAGAGGACAAATGTAATGCTGAATGCAGTGTGTCGAAGCATGCAAGACCAATTAGTGGGTCGACCAATGAAAGTCAAAGAGCAGAGGAAACAGAGTTTCAGTGAAAACAGAAGCAGAAAGCTCAGCTCAGAGTTGTTTGCTCTTACTAAGGGAGTCTCTTTATGAGTAAAAAATATTATTGTCATGAAAAGGGATACAAATAAACCAACAGTGCCAAATACAGTGAGAAGTGTCCCCAGGGTTTCCATATAAGAAAGGTATTCGATGGGTTTTGGGACACAAATGTCTCTCCTATTATTTGGCCAAAACTCAGGTGGACAGGTCAAACAGTTGAGAGAATCTGTAACAAATATGAAATTCCACAACAGTATAAGTATACTGTCAAACTATAATTGGCTCAAAATCATTCCTGTTATGATATTCAGATATTATCTATGATAAAAACAAAAAAACAAGAACACACTTACTTGTCTGATTACTAATTGTCCCTTCAGGACATTGAAAGCAATCAAAGCAGCACAAAGGTTTATTTTTGTTTATTGCCATTCGGGTCCCTGGTGGACACGGTTCTCTGCAGACAGACCTTGCCGGCTGATTACGGAAAACATAATTCAAGAAATGTATTATTAAAAGCAAGTATTAATTGTTAGACTTCAAAATTAAGCAACATTGTAATATTGTGTTTAACAATTACCGCATTATTGTAGCCGCTCCAAACTATTTTGACATTGTTAAATTTTAGTTTCTTCCCTTCTGGATAAGAATCATCAAACTCGCCAATCCTGACTATGTCCACTGATCCATCCTCCCTCATCTGCCAATTCATTAGGTCATACTTGGCAATAGAGTCACCATTTTCATCAAAGTAAACTATGTCCCCATTCCTAGTGGTGAAGTTTATATGTTTCAAGGCATCAAACACCTATAGATAGAGATTACAAATTGTATACACGTACACACACATCCTTTCAAAAAACACCAAGCTTCATCATGAGATCTTTGTTGCTTTATGTTCTTGGAACTTACTAACTTAGGCGTGACTTCCTCCTTGGTCAAACACAGCTTTCCTGTGGAAGGATTTAAGCCATTTTCACACTGCAAAAGCATTTGTAGAGCAAATGCTACTGAGTAAACAGCTGTGTAAACAGAATTTTCTTCTCTGAAATTTGTTATATCTGTGTAGTCACTGGTGATGTTCTTTAGATCTTCTTCACCAGTACACAACGTTGAGGTATTTGATGGGGTGAAGCTGCAGTCAAAAAAATCCTCCCAGACAGCTTTAATTAGAGTACTGTTTGATTCATCAGAAGGTTTCAAACTAAGCAGGAATGCCCCGAGACCTGGTATGGATGCCCTAGGAAGGGAATATCCTATCGCCCCATGTAGGATGTGCTCTCTATCAGCAGAAACAAGGTCTGCATGTGTGATCCAAGATTCACTGCCAACCCACTGCTTTCCAGTTATATTATGCCCTTCCATTTTTGAAAGAAACGACTTTGTGTAAGAAAGAGACATAAACAATAACACCACCTTGGATGAAGACTTCTTCAGTGTTTTTACAATAGTTCTAAATTTGGATATGGACGATTTTAGGTAAAGTAGCCGGTATTCTACAAATATACCTTCCTTTTGTGCTTTTTTCACAAACTCAGATGAACCCTCCGCAGCATATGTACCCATAGAATAAATTACTCCTACCCAGCGCCAATCAAAGTATTTCATAAGCTGTACCAGAGCTGTGATTTGGAATTGGTCACTTGGTACTGTTCTGAAGAAGGTTGGATATCGACTTTTTTCACTTAAGCAAGCACATGTAGACAAGTGGCTGATCTTGAGACAAAAGAAAAAAATATATATAAGTTTCCATCAATTTCAAAGGGAACATTATTTTCAGTTACTTTCTTCTTACCTGTGGTACAGATACTGAGCTGATTATAGTGTTTATATCGTCACTCACACCTGAGGATGAATGACCTAAAACAGCCAGGGTCTGACCACTGCAGTCCAGTGGATCATTTCCATTCAAGGCTTCAATAGCTGCTCGAATAAGGTTTTCAACCCCACACCCATTGTACACCTTGTAACCCAAGGTTAATCCAGGGAGGAGCGAAGGATCCCTGTTGATCTCCTCCACAGTGAAAATCATTGTTTGGGCAAACTTAAGTTCTCTGTGGTTATATCTACAAACAGGATAAAGATGGAAAGATAACAAAAGATAATGTACCAGTTATAATAAAAGATTGAAATGACATATAAAACATTTTTCATAATATACAATGCACGTATATGAACTGACCTTTGACAGTAAGAATACGGAACTGCTTGATAGTTGTTGTCAACCAGTTTTCTTGTACTTGTTATAGAGAAAATTCCTGCTATATTCAGATCACCATTCTTGGAAAATGACTTTAAAGTTGTCTTTTGAATCACTTTGCATGTTTGCTCATCTGCCCGTGTTCTTGAAAGCAGGGTTAGTAAGACAAAGATAATGACACCCATTCTAAACCAGCCTCCAATCTACTGAAACCTTGCTGGCCTGAAAGCAGAACTTTATAGGTTGTTTCTAGTGAGGAAAAAATCCCCAGGCAAGAAACACACATCAGGAATTCTCACAGGAACTCCAGTACTGCGGTTCATGTATTATTAAAACAGAAGCTGCCATTCAAGTATGTGGCAGTATACATGTGCAATTAAGATAAAATAAAACGAAAAACGGTATTGATGGCCCTGAGCATCCTGTTCATGAGGCTGTTGTACAACAACCGGATGAACAGGATGCTCATCAGGCTTTAGTCAGAGGCTTCTCCAGATTTTCTGTAAGCGGACTGCCACCATACATCTTTCATAACATTTCCTTTTTGAATTGATTTAATGGTTTTGCATTGAACATCATAATAGTTTAACATGTTTTCCGTTATTAACTGCTCTAACACGTTTGTTGGAATGGCCTCACTCACGCTGAGCCTGGTCCTACTGGAGGTTTCTTCCTGTTAAAATGGAATTTTCCTCTCCACTGTTTCTACAAGGAACAGCGGTGGGAGGAATTGCTTTTGAGTCAATGAGTCAATGCAATCAGCTGGCTTTCCTTAGATAGAAAACTGTGAACCAATCTAACTGTATGATCTGGTTGAATTGTCGTGAATTGGTGCTATATAAATAAACTGAATTTAACAGAAAGTTGAATTAAACTCCTCAATTATAAATTACTTTTTTATTTGCTCATGACAGAACTACACTCACCGGCCACTTTATTAGGTAAACCTGTCCAACTGCTCGTTAACACTTAATTTCTAAGCAGCCAATCACATGGCGGCAACTCGGTGCATTTAGGCATGTAGACATGGTCAAGACAATCTCCTGCAGTTCAAACCGAGCATCAGTATGGGGAAGAAAGGTGATTTGAGTGACTTTGAACGTGGCATGATTGTTGGTGCCAGAAGGGCTGGTCTGAGTATTTCAGAAACTGCTGATCTACTGGGATTTTCACGCACAACCATCTCTAGGGTTTACAGAGAATGGTCCGAAAAAGAAAAAACATCCAGTGAGCGGCAGTTCTGTGGGCGGAAATGCCTTGTTGATGCCAGAGGTCAGAGGAGAATGGCCAGACTGGTTCGAGCTGATAGAAGAGCAACAGTGACTCAAATGACCACCCGTTACAACCAAGGTGGGCAGAAGAGCATCTCTGAATGCACAGTACGTCGAACTTTGAGGCAGATGGGCCACAGCAGCAGAATACCACACCGGGTGCCACTCCTTTCAGCTAAGAACAGGAAACTGAGGCTACAATTTGCACAAGCTCATCGAAATTGGACAATAGAAGATTGGAAAAACCTTGCCTGGTCTAATGAGTCTCGATTTCTGCTGCAACATTCGGATGGTAGGGTCAGAATTTGGCGTCTACAACATGAAAGCATGGATCCATCCTGCCTTGTATCAACGGTTCAGGCTGGTGGTGGTGGTGTCATGGTGTGGGGAATATTTTCTTGGCACTTTTGGGCCCCTTGGTACCAATCGAGCATCGTTGCAACGCCACAGCCTACCTGAGTATTGTTGCTGACCATGTCCATCCCTTTATGACCACAATGTACCCAACTTCTGATGGCTGCTTTCAGCAGGATAATGCGCCATGTCACAAAGCTGGAATCATCTCAGACTGGTTTCTTGAACATGACAATGAGTTCACTGTACTCAAATGGCCTCCACAGTCACCAGATCTCAATCCAATAGAGCATCTTTGGGATGTGGTGGAACGGGAGATTCGCATCATGGATGTGCAGCCGACAAATCTGCAACAACTGTGTGATGCCATCATGTCAATATGGACCAAACTCCCTGAGGAATGCTTCCAGCACCTTGTTGAATCTATGCCACGAAAAATTGAGTTCTGAAGGCAAAAGGGGGTCCATCCCGTTACTAGCATGGGGTACCTAATGAAGTGGCCGGTGAGTGTATAGTTCATCACACTTGCAGCTGGTATGTCGGCATCCGAGGGACGCTGCTTTTATTTGTTGTCAAAAGAAGAAACAGTCAGTAAGCCCTATCCCTCCAAAAAACCAGATGTCATTTAGAGGTTGGTTTTTAGGCTAAATCTGGTCTGTCTATCATAGTCCACAAATAGTTGTTGAAAATTGGGCTGTGTTTGGTCGGTCTGATTTTGTCCCACTTAAGTCCGATAATGGCACTATATGAATTGAAAGCTCAATTTTTTAATATTTCGAAAAATTCTTTGAGATAGGGCCAAGGACAAGGGAGGTCTTGTTGGTCTCCGTCTCCATCTCTCGATACGGTCTCGCCTGTGTCCGACCTTTCAGACATTTCAACATCTTTTTCTGAATCCGACATTGGCATAGACAATTCGCATTTGCTGTTTGAAGAACACCTGTTTGCTTCTGATGATTTTCTCTGGCGTCAGCACAAATTTGACGAATAGTTAATCAATGAGTGTTTGCGTTATATGATTCATCCAATTACACTAGTTCTCACTAGATATGGATGTTGCAAATGATCTGCATCGGATGGTGCACATGACGTGAAATATATATTTATAAACATTGAACCAAAGCCAAGAGTAACGAGTAACGTTTTTTTTTTATGTTAGAAATAGAAAGTACAGATAATTGTATGAAAATGTATGAGTAGGAGGAAGAAAAATAAGTAATGGTGTTGAGTAGAGATACCTAAAAAGTGTACTTAAGTACAATAACGAAGTATTTGTACTTCGTTCCTTGGCACCTCTGATTGTAGCTAATAAAGGTACCATTTATTTTAACCCGTGGTCTTTACTGTTTATTGTACACTGTGAACAGTTTATCACTCAGGTTGGATTCACTTTTCTTTCAGTAACATCCGAATGAACAGAGACACATTTATTTGGTTGGTGGTCAATAACATTGCTAACAGCCAGAATATAAATACAAGTTATTAAATTATTACTTGATCAAATAATTTTTTATTCAATGATTTGCTTCATCACAAATTATAACTATTAGCTTAATTAATTATTAACCTTGTGTGATTGTTTCTGTGGGAATAGTTAAAACATAAGGCCCTGCTATTTTAAATAAATTAGATGTAATGAAATAGAACATTTTCACAGAGCTCCAACCCCCAGAACAAATGTTGTACTTTGATTCAGAGTTCTGATTGAGTAGGAATGTGAAAGCAAGCACAAGTCAATGCCTCAATTTTGACTCAACCTTGTCCAGAAATGGCAGGTCCAGAGAGACAGAATCACACACACAAACCAGAGACGGAAAGGGAGATATGTATGTAGCGACCCACTTTTATCAGGTCTGGGTTCAATGGACCTGAACAGGACCTGAACATCCAGTCTGTAATGTTGAAAGGCATACACAGTGGGTAATCATTATCTTTTTTCTGATTGTTGTTTTTTTCCCGATGTTCCACACTGAAAATAAATGAAGGATAATGAGTTTGAGTCTTTTTAAGGAAAAAAGCAGGTGAGAATTTAATGAAAAAAGAGCAGGTCCAACAGACTTCAGCTCCATACAATGGATAAAGGAGTCAGTAATGCTCACAAATGCTGATTGGATTTACTGCTGCCAAAAGGTGAACAAGCAGTTATTTGTTTTAGACAGAAGTTACAATTTTATACAGGGCCCCCATGGCTTGAATGTTATTGTTCTCTTCATTTATGAAATCATCAGTTAAGTGTTGTGTTTGCATTTTAGCCCAAAATTTGCAGGCCGAAATTAGACATTTTGAGATGCATTGTGATGCATTTGTTAGCAACCGTCAGTTTTCTCTGGGTACTCTGGTCTCTTCCCACAGTCCAAAAAGATGAATGTTAGGTTAACTGGGATGGTCTGACAAACTGTCTAGGGTGTACCTTGCCTTTTGCATGTAGATACTAGTTCTCCTTGCGACTCTGTGACTCAGAAGAAGCTGATATAGAAAATTAATCGATGAATGGACCTGAAATATTAAAGTGTGAAAACAATTAACAGAAAGAAGTGGAAATGTTTTTTCACAGGTTTAAAACCTTTTGAAAATCTAAAACACCACATAAACTGCTTAAACAATATAATAATAATAATAATAATTGCAGTACATTAAGATGTAAACATTCTTTATTGTTTTAGTAGAAAAATTGAAAATTGTTCTTAAATTAACCTGTATATTCTTACAAAAATTACATACTTTCTTGGTGTTCTTGAATTTTGTGGGTATGTGAACAGCTGGAGGTGAAAAAGGAAATTCATACTGTTAAATTCACTCTGGATGAATTGTGTTAAAGAGGGGAGGATAGCCAATGAACAGTAAAAAGAAACCAGAAACATAAGCTGTCCTAAGCCAGCACACATTCTTCGTGTTGATTCAAAAATATTGCGCAGATGGAGATCTGTAGACCAATCTTTCAAGTTCTTATTAGGAATTGTAATGATAACAATTAGCCAAAGAATCAACATAGTGGTCGTTGACTTCAGGTGCAAAGAAAAAAGTCTAGTTATGAACAAATGCACAGCCTGGTAGGCAATTAATACATGACTAGTTTTTGTTAGAGCACAAATGAGGTAGAGGGTCATCAATAACCGGTCAAATGAACAATGCATTGCAAATGTGAAAAGCATCCCCATTGCAACATTACCATTATAAGCAGCAACACTCAGGTTTGTTTTTAGCCATGTTGTATAGATTAACATCATAAATGCCATTGCCAGGAAAAGTCTGCTAGAGGCTGAAAGAACATCACATACTGTTGTACAAACAGGACATGTTAATGTTTCTGTGGAAAAGCAAAGTTGTACAATGGTAAGAATATGCAAATGAAGAGGAAATAAATACTAATTTGTAACAATTACAGGACAAGTAACATTACCTGCTTTGATCATAAAAACTTCTTTTGAGCAGGATGTTGATGAAAAGGCTGAGAGGATCTGTGGATGAAATATAGCACGTCACAAACATTACTGAGTTCTGCTTCTGCAAATAACACCTTATGAAAAGCTTCAACCTCTTATCTTTTTGTTCTGTAATTTTTGATTATATTTAATGATTCTATTAAATGCTGGATAAGTAAAAAAACAAAAACATATATTCAACAAGATACAATCCTTTAAAAATACTTGTAGTCATTATTATAATCAATAAAAAAGTTTCATATTACACACCTCATCACAACAGACTCTGAGGTAAAATTTGAGTATTTGGTATTTCAGAAGTCTGATATTAGTAACTCATTGAAAAACTCCTTCCAAACCCCTTGAAAATAATAACAAAATTAAGTTTTCTTTACTGATATGGATGAGAAATGGTAATATGGCTCTGAACCTCTGATCTCACAGTAGGAGACACACAATACAAATGTATATAATTTACTTATGCAAGCTTTTGTGTTAAAGGAGTTGCATAGAAATATTGTTTAATAATAAACTTATGTAATCAGGTCTATGATTACCACATTATCAGATCTGAACTATTCTGAACTACTCTGTAATCAAAATTAACCTATCAAATCATACTGTTCTCCTGTCCTAGAATAGAGTAAACATTGCACTCACCTTCATCTTAACCAAAGGGCAGTGGGTTTTATAGAGGAAATTAATCCCACATTTTAGGACATCATTTTTAAACTTTTCTCTGTTTTCCTCTGTGGTGATCACATTTTGCTTAGCTTTTTTCAGAACATATAAGCATGAGTCAAAGAGCATGCATAACCTTGACATTGTGCATCCCTTATAAACCAAAATATTGTCAAAGGCCACAACCCATTTAGAAGATCTATAATCACAAAGAAAAAGAAAACATATATTTGTTGGATTTCTCACATGACATATGTGTACCACAATTTCTTATCTGTTCATTATCATCCAGAAGAATCAACAGGCATTTAAAAAGCAGGAAATGCTAACTGATGGAATAACTATGCAAGATGCAAATATAAGACAACAGCTTTATCACAGTAGGGAGTTCTGCTTATAATTACAATAAATATACTTAAGTGACATTTAACTGCTTATCCTCTCAAGAGATTGTCTAATTGTCTTTGGAGGGGCTTCTTCATGCAGGATGCAAACCACCTAATTCTAACCAGCTCCCTGCAGGGGGCTTAATGAGATTACTGCTAAATTGTCACTAAATATGTGAAAAACACTCCTGAGTATTCAGATTACTGATATGAATGCACATGTTCACCGGAGAAGCTGCATCTAAAAGGATAGAAAATTTGAAACTTGGAAACCATACATTTTAACTGCAAGTTACTCACCTCATAAATCCCAAGCTTGGTTTTATTTTGATTCTGTCATAAATGACAGAATGTTTACATGATAAGCTTAAGGTCTTGTTTCCTTGAAGATACTCATTCTGACAAAGTTCATTTGGATGGTCTAGGCTAGGCCAAGTACCAGATGGTATAATGCATGTAAACAGAATTAAGAAGCAAACTGTGACTGTTGTCATTGCTGAGGTTTGCCTCTAACATATGTGTTTGTTTCAAAGTCGTCTTTTTAAAGCTCTCTCTTGGTATCTGTGGTGTAGGAGGCAACTTGGTGGACCACTCTCAGTGGGTTATGCAAATTATTTTGCATTTATTTGATTAATGTTTAAAAATTATCATGTATGAATATTTCACTGACATTAAAAAAACATTAGATTGCACATAACTCTTAGTGTTAAATGATAGTAATAGTCTAGAAACAATAATTGTTACGTGGTAACAAAAAACAAGGAAAATTATACAGGTGCATGGTTTTTACACATTTGTCCCACACACATATTTTTCTATTGGCTTTTAAGAATGATACAGTATTGCTTAATTTCAGCACATTTTGTTAAAGTAAAAAGAAATCCTTTTTAATAATAGAAGCAGGTTTTTCCTTATTTTCTAACAGACGGGGACTTCATAAAGTTGCAAAAAATAAACAAAAAAAGTAATTGGATACTTAAAGGTCAAATATGTGTTTTAAAAATAAGAAAGATAAATATTTACATTTTTTTTAACTAGCTGATATCAATAATTGAACATGTAAAATTTATCTTTCATTGTTCATGGCCTTCTCTTTCACAACTCATAAATATGATGTGTTTACTGCCATCTCAGTTGTCAAGCACAAGGCGATTTATTAACTAATGGACATTTCAGTTAGTGGGGCTAACTAAAGCTTGCTAACTAACCTCCATAAAACATAGAAGAAGAATTAGGATCAAGATGACAAATAAGCTACAAAGAAATGACAATCATCATTAGGTTAACCACTCATTCAGTGACCCATTTGAGAGGACACCTTGACATATAAGCCTCCTATATTGTGGTCAGCAGGAGCTTTTGCCAATAGCTGTCTTAAAATGGGGCAAAATTTGCCTGTGAAAGGAAAATGAGGAAGAGGGCAACAACATAGGGAATGATACCTAATTAAGAGAAGGACAACTCCAGCTAAAGGTACTTGACTCATGTAGGTATGACACTTGTACTCTTCCTTCCCTTTTCCGCAACCTGGTCTTGAAAAAACAGTAATAACTTCTAGACTTCCTTTTCCCAAGACACCTACTCTAGCTTTGCTTGTAGAAGGTCAGGCCAGCCGAGAGACAAAATGCTTCCAGTGTGCTATCAGTGAAGGCAACCAAAAAAGATGTCAGAGCCACTTCAGCCACTTCTCCCAGATCACCAAACTCCTTACCATATCTCCAGTGGCGCAAAAAGTGGGTATGCAGTATATGTGACACATAGGGGCGCTGTAATAGATGGGGCTTTAAAACTTTAGAAACCCCTTTAGAAAAAATGTTTTTCTAATTGGCATCTTCTATATTTATTTTAACTCTTCACTATTATATTTTTCTTATATATTTTTCTAAGGTCCATATTTGTATGACCATTTTTTTTTCAATAATACTTTTGCTGCTTTAAATTTCCCCATTGTAGGGCAATAAAGATTTTTTATTCTATTCTATAAAAGGGGTAGAAAGATATAAGAAAACAATTTATATATAAAAAAATATATCTGCAAAATATCTTATATTCAACAAAATATCTTATATTCAACAAGAAAAAATATTTAGTTAAGCAAATTTTGCAAAATAGCAGTTAAAAAATAGAAATCCTTTCAGATTTATTGTCCCTACACTGCAGATATATTATAATCTGTCCTTAAATTACAGTCAATCCCATTTACACAGTAACAGATAAAAACCTTTAGATAAATCAAACATTACCCGTCAAATATCTGACAAAATAGCCATTAAAAGAAATATTTTCATTCATTGAGTTTTTTTTCAATAGATAATGTTCAAGAAATATACCCAACAAGCCATCTACTGAAGAGTTACAAGGCTCTAGAAAAGTAAAATTTCCTCATTCAAGAAAACCTTGATTTGGTATTTCCAAATTTGACAGTAGCCCTTAAAGTATTTTTAACCATGCCTCTGACAGTTGCATCTGCAGAGAGGTCATTTAGCAAGCTGAAGCTCATCAAAACATCATTTCCTTCAAATATGAGCAACGATTGTTAGTCCCAGTTAGCAGTGATCTATATTGAAAACAGTGTGGTAGAGTCTATATCATTTAATGGTATACTTGACAAATGGGTAAGTGCAGCGTCACGGAATTTAACAGTTTAAATGTCATAGATGTTAAAACTCTGACATGGAGTCCAGGCTGTTAAGATTTCATATTTCCGCTACAGAAAATGTTGAGCACTGAGTGCCATTACTGTTGTAAATTTGTACTTCATTAAACTTCTTATTTGATTATGATTGAAATCATCACCTGATATAACGTGCAACATAAAAAAAACATTCTATAATATGAGTACTGTATTTTACTGTATTATGTAAGTGCATGACTAAAGCAGGAAAGCTGTATGAGACGGATGGGGGGGGGGCTGAAGATCTGTTTGCATACACCTCAAAAATATGCAGTTGCGCCCATGCCTATTTCTAAGGTAGTTCCTGGCACCTCTGTGGAGAAAGCTCATTTTAGCTGTTGTATCCAGGGATTTGTTTTGACGACAGGAGGTGTACATAAATATACAAGCATAGTGATATCTAACAGATTGTGTGTGCTAAATTCGGACACTGATCTTGGGTTGTGAACTGACCATATATCTGGAAAGATGTTTTTTCACATTTTTAAGATTTTGTTAAGAGAAATAGGCTAAAATAGTTCCTATTATTATTATTTTTCCCTCTTTGTGGGAAGATTAGGACAGCATGTATATATTGCCTCATCAATGTACTCATGAAAACTGAAAATCTAAAAAATGTTTTACCGCAACTAGGATTAAAATACTTTATTTACTGTAGAATATATGTCATGTAAAAACAAATAAATTTCAAGGCAGACTAAAAAGTACAAGTTTTTTATGTTGTCATCATGGTGCAGTTGTATCACTAAAGTTCTAAATCAAATTACATACCGAGATGTATTTGTAAAATAAAATATGTCGAATTTTTTCCTTGTCTATCGCATGAAATAACAATTAAAATGGCATAAGTTTCAAGCTCTAAAAGGAGAAAAAAAGTGAAAATATTCAAGGGGCATTAATGCTTTTGAAAAGCTCCTTGTCAATAAACATTTATAGAGTAAGAATAAAACAGCTAATCCAACAGGACTCTTGATTGTCTTTTTTATTTTTTTTCTACATTTTTTTCCAGGTCTTTTGCTTTTTGTATGTTTAAGGAATAAGAATATGGAGTTTTTGCTACAAAACAAACTTTTGTTAAATTTTTGTATATTAAAATCTAAGATCATAATTTCTAGCTTTACTATTATTATTACCTATTAATAGGAAAAATAAATCTAAAAAATTAAAGATTATCTCTGATCAAGAGGTTAAGATATACTAAAGATCAGTGGCGGAGCTAGACTTTTTTTCAAGGGGTGGCCAAACGGTGAGCAAGGCTTTATCAGAGGGGTCCATATACAAATGATGAACGAAAGGAAACAAATATTTTCTCACACACACTCAAATTAAAATGGTTTATTTAACAAAGATTTGCCATGACCAAACAAGACGTTGAAGGGCACTATGAAACAGTGAACATGTAAATGTAAACTCAGAGCCCAGAATATAACCAAAAACAAATTCTCAAAAATAAATAAAACTGGCTCCAAATAGTAAACTGCAAGATAATACCACAAGAGCTGACCAGCATTACCCTGGTGGTATTTATAAAGGTTTGAGAAACACTGCTATAGTCAAATAAGCTTTGAATGGGAACAACATACTGCAAACTCAAAGCCAGGATACACTCAAGAGAGCATAATTCTCCGATTTTGGTGGGAAGAAGCAAAATGTTTTACAAAGTCATCCATGTTGAGGGCATGTGCCCTCCTTGACTCAACTGTTCTAAGGTGGTTTTTGATCAGTTTTAGAGCAAATAAACTTCGCTCACAGGATGCAGTACTGACTGGGATAACAACTGAAATCTTACAAAGTCTAAACAGCTCATGAAAAACCTCTTTATAAGATTCCAGGAACACAACAAAGTCAAGTAAAGTAGAGGGTCTCTCCAACCCACCTTTTTCTCTCCTCAGAAGAAGCCGTCTGGTTTGGTGAAACTCATGTTTAAGATCTTCTAGATCTGACTCAAATGTCTGTCCAAAAGCATACAGTGTTTCCTCTTTCAAGAATAATGGGCTTTTTGGGACCAGAGACTGAACCCCTAGCATTATCTCACAATTCTTCTGTGAAAAGCGCCTCTCAAGCTCAACTGTGAGACAGTCAAGTATCTGATAAAAGACACCTCTGTTAAAATCCTCATTACTTTGGTCACTGTGCCTCTGTCCTACAGTAGTCATTACCAGTGAGTCCAAAAACCTGGAACTGGCCTTAGGCTGTCTCTTGCTGAGTGGCAGAGTGCTTATTTTGCAGCGTTCTACTAGTCCTTGAGTGTCCCTCGGTAGTTCACCAAAGCAAGCTTCACTTCTGTAGCTTTTCAATGTGTCTGTCAGGGAGCCGACTAAATCTACGGCTTTTGATAAATCAAGATTGCTAGATTGGAGCATGTCAGACAGGATTTTGATATCCCCGAGCACTTTACAAAAAGTAACTAAAAGTGCTATAAACTGAAAATCAATTTGAGCCAAAAGACCCTTTGCTTCCACTTTTCTATCCGCACTGTTATTTTCAAGGGAAATATCTTGCAGAAGCCTCAAAACCGCTGGAAGTCTGTCTCTCACAGACTGCTCCTGGTCTGGTCCTGGTTTTTGCCTCTTTAAGAAGAACTGGGAGATCTTTCCTTTTCTCTTCATTTGGGTTCTACACAAAATAAGACAGCCTGGTATTTAGACTCCATGACTGTTTGGCAGAAACAACACTATTTTAACTATTATTTAAACTATAGTTTTTATTTTTCTGTAGCTAGCTAAATAATACAAAATTTAAAATAGATTAATTAAATAAATTAATCTATCTAAATAATCTATTTAACTAGTTAGGTTATAATTCAAAGCTTTCATAGGACA